GCCCCTGCCCCCTGCGGGCTCCTGTCCTGGTCCCTGGGGACCCCCTGTGCAACGTGCAGTCAGTGCCTCGACGTGGAGCCCGTTGAATGGACGTTGACCATCCTGGCAGAGTCCTCTCCCCGACCTAGAGGATGGCGGCCACGTTTCCCGGAGAGTTCCGCATCTCCTGTCAATGTTCGCTGTCATAACAGGGAGGGGGTGATTGCACCGGGGTGCTCCCTGTCAACGCTGCCCATGCTGCGCACTAAGCACGTTTTCCCATCTCCCCAGTCCCGATCCTGTCAACACAAACACCCCGCAGACACCGCAGCGCGTCCCCGCCTAGGCGAGCCTAGCCTCCCCCATATCATCAACAGAACTCCCCCTCCCCCCCTACCCTCCCCTTCCGGTCTACAAACACCCCTAGTTTTGTCAACAAACACATCCCGTCGCTGTCAATATCACAATCCTGGTCAGTAAACGCGCGCTCTTTCTCCAGGAGTGAGGTGCGCGCCAGGAGAGTGCGGTGACAGAGTTGCCAGAAAAGCGGGCAAAATGCGGGGCACACACCAGCAGTAGCACAGCAGTGTACAGTGGACTGCATGGACTGCTTCTAGTCCAATAACAGCTTTGAGTTCAATTTCTAAACAACAAGCAAACGTGTGAGCTGCGAAAAGTTAGCCCGCAAATTTTCGCAGCTAAACGTGTGTGCCCGTGTTAGGGCCACGACACAACAGTATGCTGGGGGGTTGCCTACTCGCTCTACCCGTAAGGCGCTATCGCGCCCCTCCTAGGGTATGCAAACCCGCAACACTGTTGTGTCGTAGCCCTGACAGGAGATTCACCTCCAGAACCATAAGCGAGGGGTGGACGACTGGGCGGCTCCTGTGTACAGGCCAAAATGTACTCCAGGTGTTCTCCGATTGTACTCCGTGTACTCCGGCTGTTTTTGTCGCAAGTTCTCCGCGTACTCCGACTGTACTCCGGGTGTACTCCAGGTGTACTCTGTGCGCTCCGACCGGCAATACTCAGTGTTCTCCGACTGTACTCCGTGTACTCCGTACTCCTGTGTACACGAAAAATTCAAGTCGCCCACCCCTCGACCATAAGGGTATCGACAAGGAAGGGTGCAGTTTTTGTTTTGTTTTGTAGATAAAATGGGCAAAATGCCTAGTAGGCTGTTCTGCATCTCACTCTTCTTTCTGTGACACCCTTAGTTCTGTAGGTGGCACCCCACAGCGTTGCGCAGCCGAGTTTGAACTCTGTAACTGGACTAGACACAAAGTTTACGCATGTCGTAGTATAGCTGTGGCAATAGTAGTAGTTATGAAAAGAAGAGGGCATTTTAAATACTTCTCTTTGCGGTTGTTCGCCACTTGTTTGGCGGACTGTTAACTACGGGTCGCAAGGCGGGGCTTCCTTTTCACTTTCCGAGCCCCGCCCAGCGGCCCCTGGTGGGGCGGGGCGTGGCGTGGCGTGGCGCCATCCTTCACCTCTCCTTGCCTCCCTCTCTCGCGGTGCTCGGTGCGTCGCCGCGAGTCACGAACAGACAGATAGACCCCAAGTAGGGCAAATGCCAGGCAAGCAGCGTGCCTACCGCGGAAAAATAACACTTTGGCATGGGGTGAACATAATTGAGTGAATGAAATGTGTATGTTCTTTGTATTTTGCTATGTACCGAGTGTGTGTGCGCGCCGGGCCCGCCCCAGCTGGGCCCAACAAGGGAATGTTTGTGTTGCCTTGCTTCGGGCCCTACGGCCCACGGCCGCTCCTGCCAAGGCTATTCGTCGTGTCTTAGCAGCGTTGCTTGCATGATTTCAAATACAAGGCCTCATCTGTGTCCGTCCGTTGGGGTTGGGGGGTGGGGTGGGGGTAAACAGAACGGGGCAGAGGACGCGCCTGGCCGAT